GTCTTTGTCCTTTCCCACAGGGTTGTGGAATGCATCATTGACAGTGGGGAATTGTAATAGGGAAGAACCTTTGTGTTCTATTACATTAATTACTAAAGGAATGTTGCCTATAAGCTTAAATCATACATAATAGCCCATCTCTGGGAACCCTGCCTCCCAGGTAATGAGCATTAAGCTAAAATACCTTTGTTTAAATCATACTTAATGGCCCATCTCTGGGAACCCTGCCTCCCAGGTAATGAGCGTTAAGCTAAAATACCTTTGTTTAGCTCACGGGAAACATCCTGACAGGGTCCACCTATCAGTGGCTGCAGGAAGGAAGAAATTATTTGTTTTCTTGGCTGTGTGTTGGGTCTTCGTTGCTGCACACGGGCTCTCCCCAGTCGCAGCGAGTGGGGGCTACTCTTCGTTGTGCTGCACGGGCCTCTCACTGCGGTGGCTTCTCTTGTTGCGGAGCACAGGCTCCAGGTGTGCGGGCTTCAGCAGTTGTGACGCACGGGCTCAGCTGCTCCGCGGCATGTTGGATCTTCCCCGACCAGAGCTTGAACCCGTGTGCCCTGCATTGGCAGGTGGACTCCCAACCACTGTGCCACCAGGGAAGTCCAGGAAGGAGGAAATTAACATATCCCCTCCAGAGTCTGGCAGGAACCAGGACTACCTCCTCACCTTTTAGCAGAAAAGAAGCCTGAATTCTGACTCAGGGAAGACAGTTCATTGAGACACTAGTCCACCATTTTCTTGGTCTACTGGCTTTCCAAATAAAGTTGCTATTCCTTGCCCCAACAGCTTGTCACTTGATTTATTGGCCTGTCATGAGGTGAGCGGGAGGCGCTTGGACTCAGTAACGTGACCTTGGACCTGACCTGGAGTCCTCTTTCGTACATTCTGGACGATGGTAACTGCTTTGCTGGATCGGTGTGAGGAAGCAGTGTGTAAGGCAGAAAAAGTGCTTCCTACCCCGTAAGGAAACATATGGGGAGTTTCTTAAGTAAAGCAGATTCCTGGCTCCCCATCTTTGCCATCTTACTAAACTGGGATTCTTTGGGGGTGGAGCCTAGGAAACTGAATTTTAAATAAGCATTTCCAGTGACTGACTAGGGTGGTCCAAGGAGACTTAGGAAAGACTGAAAGGGGTGTGTGTGTGTGTGTGTGTGTGTGTGTGTGTGTGTGTGTGTGTGTGTGTGTCACCCTCTCCTTTGCCAGGTGGAGTTTGTTACTGCAGACTAACCCCCTGTGACCGCCTGTCTCATTACCAGATTTTATGGACGCTCTGCTTTTGCCAAACTCTGCTGACAGAAACTGCGTTAGCATGACCTTGGCTGGGCTGTGGGTGGTGGTGAGTATGGGCGGCAAGCGATGTCACCTGCACAGGGCAGCTGACTCAAAGGACACCAGTGCATTACTGGAAAGCGGGGCCCTCCACACCCCCACTGCCAGGCTTGTGGTTCCAGGTGTTTCTTAAAAGACCTGTCCACCTGCATCAGGCCTGTTCCAGTCATGAGGGGATTGGGTCTGTGGCTGGGGAGCTGGCCGAAGCCCAGGCAAAGGCTGCTGGGATGGACTGAGGGCAGGGAACTCAGGATGGGGCAGCTGCCTCTGGAAGAAGCCAAGATGTCCCTGGCTGCTGCCGGTAGGGGTAGTAAGAGGATTAGGTGTCAGTCCCTAACCCAGCCCGGAACTAACACCCTCCTCCACTAACACCCCCTTCCCCCGCACTCACAGCACCCTGGCCTGCCCCCCGTCGGAGCTTGCCAAACTCAGAATAACCCCGGGGACCAGACCGTGGGATGGCAGGGACTCTGCTCAGCGCCCTGCTTCTCTTGCAACTTCTCGGTATGGACCAGGGTCGGGGGAAGTGGTCGGACACACACACAGGATACTGACATAAAGGGACAGGACAAAGACAGAGACTGAGATGTAGACGGAGACAACGATATTTGGTCCCCAGGCACATCACTGGTTCGGGAGACAGACAACGGAAAAATACACAGCCGCAGACAGAGAAGCAGAGCCATGCAGAGGCAGAGAGGAGAGGCTCCTTAGCCTCTCCGTTTCCAGTGACCCCACTGCTTGGCCCCACCCCCAGGCAGAGGTGAAGGGAAGAACGAGGAGCTGCGTCTTTACCACCACCTCTTCGACAACTATGACCCAGGACGCCGACCAGTGCAGAAGCCTGAGGACACTGTCACCATCGCCCTCAAAGTCACCCTGACCAACCTCATCTCACTGGTAAGATACCCCCACTGTCACCCCAAATGCCATCTCTGAGCCTAAAGTCCCACTTCTGGTCCCAACCGCTGAGCTCTATCCTAAAGCTGGCTTCCATCATCCTAATCTCCCATCCGCAGAATGAGAGAGAGGAGACCCTCACCACCAGCGTCTGGATTGGAATCGTGAGTGGAGTCTGGGGAGCAGTGTGAGGTCTTGTCCAGGGGACCCTTTTCTCCCAAACTCCTCTTGGGCACCAAGGCACACGTCCTTCCGTCCCCTTCCCCTTCCCTCACCCTTAGGACTGGTATGATTACCGACTCAACTACAGCAAGGGCGATTTTGGGGGCACAGAAACCCTGCGGGTCCCTTCAGAACTTGTATGGCTGCCAGAGATTGTGCTGGAAAACAAGTGAGGACGGGGCCAGGCTGGAGGGAAGCCGAGGCCCGGGGGGCTGGGCTGGACCTGGTTGGGGCAGGTTGCTTGGAGGGAGAGGGGGCCACAGATCTGCGCAAACTCTTGGTTTCCCGGAGCCCACAGTATCGACGGCCAGTTCGGTGTGGCCTATGAAGCCAACGTGCTGGTCTCGGAGGGTGGCTACGTGAGCTGGCTGCCCCCGGCCATCTACCGCAGTATCTGCGCCGTGGAGGTCACCTACTTCCCTTTCGACTGGCAGAACTGCTCGCTTGTTTTCCGGTGGGAAGCGGCCCTGAGCTTTGTGGAATTACGGGGGGTGGGGCCAGGTGTGGGCGGGG